TACTACCGAACGGCTCGTGCACTTGCGAGTATCACAAGTTGAGGATGCAGCTGAATCCATTTTGGTGCAGCTGTATCTACGCAACAATGACGAGACTCTTGAGTCAGAAGATGAGATCGTAGAGCACTGAAATCAGGAAGACTATCTAGGCTCTCAAGAGCTGTCACCAACATTTCGTACTCATCACCAAGGCCTCGGAGAACGACATTAACCAAGTCTGTATTAGAGATTAGTTATCCTATGGAAGCTAGCTGGTCAGAAATCGATTTGGCCTCCAAAAGATAATCTGAGACAGATCTAGTCCCACGAGAAATCTCATTAAGAAGACGCCGAAGACGAGAGGAGTTGGCAGTTGACTTCTGAGTGAAGTATTTGGAGATAAGAGACCACATGGAGGCAGAGGTTTTGCGGCCAACTACAGAAGCAAGAATGGGTTCTGACAAAGTAGCATATAGTGTACTGACAAGAGCCTTGTCTCTGCAAACCCAATGATTATAATCGGGAGAAGAGGTGGCTGGACATAGATGAGTGCCATCAACATATTTGAATAAATCTTGTCCAATAAGGAAGGCTCCAACCTGATGATACCACAAGAGATAGTTATCATCATTAAGCTTCACCGTCACAAGGTGTGTGATGTTGAGGAGAGAATATGTGGCCATGGCAGCAACGGTTGAGGAGGCAGTAGCGGAATTACTCATCTTAGAGACAAAGGAAGGGGGGCCGCTGTGATTGTGGTGGTTGGACTCTGATGCAACAAATCTGGAATCGTTGGGCAGCGACGGAACGAGACCTTTTAGGTGTTGTGCGACAAGCAAGAGAAGAAGAAAGAAGAGTGGTGCCATACCCAGAGAAGAGAGAAAATAGCAACCCAAAACCCTAGGAAAGAATTTGCGCTGATACCATGTAAGTTTGTGAAATCTGAATTTTTTTCTTCTCACTGTTAGAGGAAAGTATATAAACAGCCAATCTAACTTTACAATAGGAGATATATATATAAAGGAATTCCTAGTCTATATGTATTGACAATTAATATAGTTGACTGGAGAGATATAAACGATATATACATCAATTAGCTATAAATCAGGGATGCTATCTAACAAACTATATGAATTCTACAACTTCTTTCCAAGCAAATTTCTTGCCATATGGAGAAACGTTCTTTAGTTACCCAACTGGTAGATTTTCCGATGGCCGTCTAATCCCAGATTTCATTGGTATGACCCTTTAAATAATAGGAAAAATTGTAGCAATGGTCCCTTGATTAAGACCCAACTTTACTTTTCGTCCCTCATGTCGCAAGATTGTTATGGTGGTGTTTCAATTAGATCTCGCATTGCACCACTAGTCATTTCTGTCAATTCTGTTTGCTTTTCCGTCAAAATTGATCACATATCAAGCACATGATAGATATTTTAGGGTAAATAAGACTTTTACCTAACCACCAACTCCGTCTACCATCCTTTCTCCCGATTTCTCTCTCTTCCCTCTGTCTCTCTTCGAATGAACCAGGCGCGCCCCAACCACCACCCTAGCAAATTAAACCTAAGCAACCCAAACCCATCATTCCCACCACCTCATACCTTGCTCCTCCTCCCTCGCTGCGCACACCACCCCATCCCCAAAAATTCTCAACACACCCAACCTCTTCTTTTCCTCCCCAAATTCAACAATTTTTCCCAATCCAAGACAAATTCAACAATATTTTCCCAAATCCAACACAGTTTAAGGTCAAGGAGGAAGGACCCATCTAACAAACTGAGGGTTCATCCAGTTTTTTGTAGTAATAAATTGGGTTTTTTTTCTTCTTCTTTTCCATGGGAAGGTTGTTCAAGGCTGAAGATAAGGGGCTACTGGTTGAGAATCACTAGATCTTTCCTACCCTCTCACCTCTGAACTTGGAGAGGCTAAGATTGAATTGGATTAATAGGAAAAGAGAGAACCCTTTCCATTTCGTTGCCTTTGCTAGCATTTTCTTTTTGCTTTGAGATCAACAACAATGATGGAATCTCAGGAAGTGGAATTTGGTCTGTCTCCTGGTGGTTTTTGGCGTTAGGGTTCTTTCTTCTTTCTCTTTTTTTATTTTGAGAACTCTTTTTCTCTGCTTATTCTTTTTCTACTTTGGCCAGGTTCTGTAGGAAGAATCAATTGAAGAAGAATCCTCTGAAAATGATGATGTTTGTTGGGTTAGCTTAATTAGGAATTTACAACTAACTTATTTTGGATTTTTGGGTTTAGGGATTTCTTCTCCTTCCTCTTTCTAGGTTTTGGGTTTAGGAATTTACAAACCATGGCTTGATGATCGGCGACAACATCAGCATATGAATTTCCCAATTTGCCCTTAATTTTGACAAAAAAATTTAACTCAGTTGACAGAAAGACCAATGATGCAACATGAGATCTAATTGAAACATCACTGTAACAATTTTGCGACATGAGGAACGAAAAGTAAAGTTGGATTATATTTGAGGGACCATTGCTACAATTTTGCCTAAATAATATCAATGTTATGCTCTTCAAACACTAGTGATTATGCATAACTGAATGTTAACTTTCCATCAATGCTGCAGCTGAATATGCAAAGTTGCCATATTTACCACCATATTTGCAGCCTGGGTTGAACAATTATACTTACGGGGTCAACTTTGCATCTGCTCATCAAGGATATGTATCTGATCTTGCTTCGGTATTTCCTTTCTATATTTGTATTTTCGGCTTTAAAAAGTAAGCTGCTTGTCTATATGCGGAGTCATCCAACAGGCAACAGCTAGTCATAATGACAAGGCCAATGCTGCCCTTTGGCAGCCATTGCCTTCTCAGACTTCGCCAAACTCATCCGAGGAAGAACTTATTGTCGAAATCATTGATTGTACATGCATGATTTGATTGTGATTTCTTGGTTTCAGGTGATACACCTTAAAACTCAACTATGTCAGTTCAAGAAGGTGGTGAAACAGCTGAGGCACAAACTAGGTCATGCAGAGGCCAAAACAATTTTGTCGAAAGCTGTTTACTTGATTAGCATTGGAAACAATGATTATTTTGCCCCCTTCACATCAAATTCCAGTTTGTTTGAGTCCCACTCACACAAAGAATTTGTTGGCTTGGTCATTGGCAACCTTAAGAAAGTGATCAAAGTAATATACACTGTCTTATGGTGGAGCCATACTCCCAATGTCACAGGGCCTTACATTAATCTAAAAGAGCTGCTTGAAGTTTAGACAAAAATGTGGATTGATTAGTTTTTTAACCAACTTAGAATTTTGCAGACACAACTTCTGTTTCAAAATAAGTTTATGGTTTGATATATCATCTTTCTAGTATGTATGCTTTGTGTCTTTATCAATTATAGTCAAAATTTAACCCCCAGATTCATAAGGGAGTGTTGACAGATTAGTCCAAATAAAAGGCTCAAAGAACAAAACTGTCCCTGGCCCAAAAAAGTGGACAAACCGATCCACGTCTTGAAATTTAACCCCCATTGCACATATACCTTATATATTTACACTTAAGAATGTTTCAAGGAAGGAAGAGTGGCCTGTATAGAGGAATTATGAGCTGTGGAGGGAAGAGAGGTGCCACGGAGTATCAACTGTATGACAATGTTACTGAAAGGGCTTACCAGCAAGTGTCCAAGCTATGGTGGAGCCATGACTTGAAGGAGCTATTTCAAGTTTAGACAAAATGTCTTGATTGATAGTTCCATAAGCAATTCAGCATTTTGCAGTCACATTTTCTGTTTCAAAGAGTATATGAAAGCTCGATATCATCGTTGTATTTACGTATTGACACCTTAAATACATGTGTTTGATGTTTTCTGTATTCTAGTTGTCTTTCTTCGCCCTTGGCTGTACTCTTTATAATTAGATCCTTTATTTATACAGAAATGGTCGTGTAATGTGTAATTAATGTGATCTGAAACCTCTTGAAGGTGTATCAAATTCCTCTTATTTAAGCACTACTATTACTATATCTTGTTATTTGAAAGTTTAATTGGTGCATTTGAGGAGGAAATTAAGACATTTTCATTCCTCCATATATGCACAAACCGCGTTTTTCATGTTAAACATTTTCTAAAAATTTTTCTATATACAACCAGGACACCTAAGTTCTTCACAATTTCTAACCAAATCCAATTGGAAAAACTTTCCTTTTATCAAAGGAGAAAATCTCCACCACCCCATGTACCTTGAAATCAGGAGGTCAACGAATTTTCTCAGAAACCAACCAAGATCTGTTAACCAAGTCTCCTCAACGTTCCTATATAAAAATCCCTCTCCCTTCTCTCCTTAAACCCATCCTTTGCCTTTCAATTTCTCAAACCCTAAACCTTCTCTCTCTCTCTCGACCAAAACCAAAAAAAAAAAAAAAACCACCACCCCATCCCCAAAAATTCTCAACACACCCAACCTCTTCTTTTCCTCCCCAAATTCAACAATTTTTCCCAATCCAAGACAAATTCAACAATATTTTCCCAAATCCAACACAGTTTAAGGTCAAGGAGGAAGGACCCATCTAACAAACTGAGGGTTCATCCAGTTTTTTGTAGTAATAAATTGGGTTTTTTTTCTTCTTCTTTTCCATGGGAAGGTTGTTCAAGGCTGAAGATAAGGGGCTACTGGTTGAGAATCACTAGATCTTTCCTACCCTCTCACCTCTGAACTTGGAGAGGCTAAGATTGAATTGGATTAATAGGAAAAGAGAGAACCCTTTCCATTTCGTTGCCTTTGCTAGCATTTTCTTTTTGCTTTGAGATCAACAACAATGATGGAATCTCAGGAAGTGGAATTTGGTCTGTCTCCTGGTGGTTTTTGGCGTTAGGGTTCTTTCTTCTTTCTCTTTTTTTATTTTGAGAACTCTTTTTCTCTGCTTATTCTTTTTCTACTTTGGCCAGGTTCTGTAGGAAGAATCAATTGAAGAAGAATCCTCTGAAAATGATGATGTTTGTTGGGTTAGCTTAATTAGGAATTTACAACTAACTTATTTTGGATTTTTGGGTTTAGGGATTTCTTCTCCTTCCTCTTTCTAGGTTTTGGGTTTAGGAATTTACAAACCATGGCTTGATGATCGGCGACAACATCAGCATATGAATTTCCCAATTTGCCCTTAATTTTGACAAAAAAATTTAACTCAGTTGACAGAAAGACCAATGATGCAACATGAGATCTAATTGAAACATCACTGTAACAATTTTGCGACATGAGGAACGAAAAGTAAAGTTGGATTATATTTGAGGGACCATTGCTACAATTTTGCCTAAATAATATCAATGTTATGCTCTTCAAACACTAGTGATTATGCATAACTGAATGTTAACTTTCCATCAATGCTGCAGCTGAATATGCAAAGTTGCCATATTTACCACCATATTTGCAGCCTGGGTTGAACAATTATACTTACGGGGTCAACTTTGCATCTGCTCATCAAGGATATGTATCTGATCTTGCTTCGGTATTTCCTTTCTATATTTGTATTTTCGGCTTTAAAAAGTAAGCTGCTTGTCTATATGCGGAGTCATCCAACAGGCAACAGCTAGTCATAATGACAAGGCCAATGCTGCCCTTTGGCAGCCATTGCCTTCTCAGACTTCGCCAAACTCATCCGAGGAAGAACTTATTGTCGAAATCATTGATTGTACATGCATGATTTGATTGTGATTTCTTGGTTTCAGGTGATACACCTTAAAACTCAACTATGTCAGTTCAAGAAGGTGGTGAAACAGCTGAGGCACAAACTAGGTCATGCAGAGGCCAAAACAATTTTGTCGAAAGCTGTTTACTTGATTAGCATTGGAAACAATGATTATTTTGCCCCCTTCACATCAAATTCCAGTTTGTTTGAGTCCCACTCACACAAAGAATTTGTTGGCTTGGTCATTGGCAACCTTAAGAAAGTGATCAAAGTAATATACACTGTCTTATGGTGGAGCCATACTCCCAATGTCACAGGGCCTTACATTAATCTAAAAGAGCTGCTTGAAGTTTAGACAAAAATGTGGATTGATTAGTTTTTTAACCAACTTAGAATTTTGCAGACACAACTTCTGTTTCAAAATAAGTTTATGGTTTGATATATCATCTTTCTAGTATGTATGCTTTGAGTCTTTATCAATTATAGTCAAAATTTAACCCCCAAATTCATAAGGGAATGTATTATGATTTTTAGAAAGAAAAAAAAAAAGCACAGATGGCATTGTATATTTAGTTATTTTAAAAAGTCAAATGGAGTTTTTCCTAAAATTTTGGTATTGTAGGGTTTTTCTATATTTATGCGCTTACAAGTGAAAAACCCTAATTTCATATGATATATCCAAATTGCCAGCCTTTTAGTATTGTAGAAATAAACTCTGTACACTCGTGGCAGGATCCCAAAAACTGTTCAATGGTTATAGTATTTGAATATTCGTCTTTCAATAACTTTACGTATATCCAATGGCTGGCCACTCTACAGGACTAAAAGAAACTTCATTGGACTACACAAATTTCCACAAGCAAATCAACAAGACCTATAATATCCTGTATAATCTTATTATTTTAAGATACAGCGGAGGTAAATGTCAACATTTTAAGATACAATATTTCAAGTAAAGGACGCTGCAAATAATATCCTGAATAATCTATTATTTTGTGATTCAATTGAAGCTAATAATATCTGAAAACGTCTTATCCAATATGTGCCTTGAAAAGTTTCAGCCATCTATTAAATTTAATTGAAGCAGAGGAAAAGATTATTATATAATACAAAGCTAAACACAACATACTGGAATGGCATCTTTTAGGTTTCAAATCCATATCTTGGCTTTCTGTGCAGGCCTTGTTATTCAAAGCAGCTGCCATGGCCATTCTGGGCTTCAGAAAAAACATGTAGCCCTGTTCATCTTTGGTGATTCATTCTATGATCCTGGAAATAATAACTACATAAATACCACAAAAGTTTTCCAGGCCAATTGGTTACCATATGGTGAAACATTCTTCAGGTACCCAACCGGTAGACCTTCTAATGGGCGTTTAATCCCAGATTTCATTGGTAAGAACCATCTTGTGAGTAATATTGTTTCTTTCAGTCATTTCTTCAAACACCTTTGCTGCTAACTGACAGCAACTGATAATACAAACACATGATACAACTAACTATTAAATTTTATATTCATGTTTCAGCTGAGTATGCCAAGTTGCCAATTATACCAGCATATTTACAACCTGGGTTGAAAGACTATACTTATGGGGTGAACTTTGCTTCTGGTGGAGCTGGTGCTCTAGTTGAAACCCTTCAAGGATTTGTATATGCTCTGGCGTATTATATGTTTTCCCTTGTTATGACTTTTAGTTACAGTTGCAGCATCTCAATATGTATTTTCGGTAATTCGCTTGGTTTCCGTTAGCATGATTTGATTATGTGATCTGTTGTTTTCAGGTGACAGACCTTAAAACTCAACGAAGTCAATTCAAGAAGGTGGAGAAGCAGTTGAGGCAGAAACTAGGTAAAGCAGAAGCCTACACATTGCTGTCCAAAGCTGTCTACTTAATCAGCATTGGAGGCAATGACTATTCTATCCCATTAGCCACCAATACCAGCCAGGAAGAATATGTTGGCTGGGTTATTGGCAACCTGACAAGTTGGATCGAAGTAATCTTATCTTCGTTTTGCACACATACATAGCAGGAGAGAATTTCTAATTCGAGTTTCTTCTTTTTTCTATGACTTTTTACAATTTGTTACAACTTTGTTCATCTGATTATGAATCCGGAAAGATCTTTTGGAGGAGTGATTTGATATACATTTTTATCAGGATGTATACAAGAAAGGAGGCAGGAAATTTGGATTTTCAAGCGTGGGCCCTCTTGCTTCTGCGCCAAGCATGAGAGTGATTCAACCAGGAAACACAGGCCCTTCCAGGGAAGAACTTACAGCACTTGAGAATCTACACAATAGACTACTTTCCATAGTCCTCACAAAGCTGAAGAAAGAGCTCCAAGGATTCAAATACTCAAAGCTTAATCTCTACACTTACGCTAAAGAAAGAATTAATCATCCATCAAAATATGGTATGCATAGCCATCCATGGCACCTTCTCCTTTAAGTTATAGTTTCTCTTATTTGGTTTTGTCATAAGCTGATAAATAATGTCTCCTTTTTAATATTCTTTACATTATTACTGTTGTAAAGGTTTCAAGGAAGGAAAGACGGCGTGCTGTGGCTCTGGTCCATACGGAGGAATTAATACCTGTGGAGGGAAGAGAGGTGTGACTGAGTATAAGTTATGTAACAATGTTACTGAATACGTCTTCTTTGACTCTTTCCATTTAACTGAAAGGGTATACGAGCAAGCGTCCAAGTTATGGTGGAGCCATAACTTGGAGGAGCTATTCAAAGTTTAGGCAATTTCCGTTTCGAAGCAAATTAAAAGTTTGATGGAGCCATGGGCACATGGGCAAGTGTTCAAGTTATGGGGGAGCCATACTTCCTTTGTCCCAGGGCCTTCTTTTAATTTGGAAGAGTTATTTGAAGTTCAGAAACCTATGTATTTGTTAGTTTCAATAAGCGCCTGTGAATTTGCACAGACAATCTCTGTTTATAAATAAATTATGGTTTGATATATCATTTTTGTATTAATGTATTCACAACTCAAAAATGGATGTGATAGATGTTTTCTGCACTCCAATACTTGACACCAAAAGATACAAAGAATAAATTCTACTCAATCCAGTAAGGGATCTTATGGGGGGAAGATAGAAGCAAAAGCCAAGAACTAGGTGCTCTGTTAAGTAGGGCAATAGACATTATGCAAATGGTGAAGGTGGTTATTTTGGTTGCTTGTTTCTCAATTTGCTTTGTTTTCTTTCCATAGTTCCGGAGAATTGCAGGTGATCCTACTGATGTGTACAATATTCCATAGAGGTTATGGTCATAATGAGTGAAGGAAATTAATAATTTTGGAAAATGACCGTTGTTAATTACATTTAAAAGTAGAGAGATTCAGGGACCCTCTCAGAAACCCTAAGGAACTCTCTCTAAAAAGTAGAGAGATTCAAGTTTTCTTGGACATGTTTTCTTTTCCTATAAAAACAAGGTCACTGGTGATTTTCTCTAATGGCTCATTTTGATAACCCTTCAATCATTTTAACCTCTCCAGTTGTAAAAGTTTACACTTTGGTATAAAATGATCCAATAAACCCTTGGTATAAAATGATCCAATAAACAGTTGTCACGGTCACGTAAATGGAGCGCACTTCGGCCTAAACATGGTCCAATTAGCCAAAATAGTAAGTTATGAGCCATTTTGTGTATAAACTCCCAATAATAAATGATTGCTGGTACCGTCTACGTCAAGCATGAAAAATATTTTATCAAGAAAATAACTCTTGGTGGATGAGAAATGGTGAAAATTTGTGTAAGAATTTTTGAATGAAAGTGGACGAGTTTTAGATCCTCCAACTTGTAGTAAGTTACCCTTTTTTAGAGGTTCTAGTGTCTTTTCAAAGTTGTTATTTGCTGACAAAAGCTAATGACCATTGGATCATCTTAGAAACCAGCTCTTCTCTCAATTTGAAGGTTGCAATATTTTAAACATACAGAACTGAAACAGAGGAGAAGATTGTTGGTTTAATTGTTAGTCCTTCAAACATTATTTTCCATTATGTTTACATATATGTGGTTAGCTCAGCAACTATGTTGCAGAGTTGGGCTACACTAACTGTGGTTTGATCATAGAAGTTAACATTCGTTTCCCTTTCGACAAGTAAATCTCGAAAACCTATTTATGCATTTGAAGCAGAGACAAAGTAAACCAGATTGCTAGAATGGTAACTTCAAGGTTGCAAATATATATCCTGGCTTTTTGTGCAAGCCTTCTCCTTGCAAGTAGCTCTAGCCATGGCCATTCTAGGCAACATAAAAAGCATGAAGCCATGTTCATCTTTGGTGATTCAGTATTTGATGTAGGAAACAATAACTATATGAATTCTACAACTTCTTTCCAGGCAATTTTCTTTCCATATGGAGAAACCTTCTTCAGTTACCCAACTGGTAGATTCTCCGATGGCCGTCTAATCCCAGATTTCATTGGTATGACCCTTTAAAAATTATTAATGTTATGCTCTTCAAAACACTAGTGATTATGCATAACTGAATGTTAACTTTCCATCAATGCTGCAGCTGAGTATGCAAAGTTGCCATATTCACCACCATTTTTGCAGCCTGGGTTGAACAATTATACTTATGGGGTGAACTTTGCATCTGCTGGAGCTGGTTCTCTAGCTGAAACTCATCAAGGATATGTTTGTGATCTTGCTTCTATATTTGCTTTCTAAATTTGTATTTTAGGCTTGAAAAAGTAAGCTGCTTGTCTATATTTGCAGTTGTCCAACAGCTAGTCATCATGACAAGGCCGATGCTGCCCTTTGGCAGCCATAGCCTGCTCAGACTTCGCCAAACTCATCCAAGGAAGAACTTATTGTCGAAATCATTGATTGTACACGAATGATTTGATCGTGTGATTTCTTGGTTTCAGGTGATAGACCTTAAAACTCAACTATGTCAGTTCAAGAAGGTGGTGAAACAGCTGAGGCACAAACTAGGCCATGCAGAGGCCAAAACATTTTTGTCGAAAGCTGTTTACTTGATTAGCATTGGAAACAATGATTATTTTGCCCCCTTCACATCAAATTCCAGTTTGTTTGAGTCCCACTCACACAAAGAATTTGTTGGCTTGGTCATTGGCAACCTTAAGAAAGTGATCAAAGTAATATACACTGTCTTCTTCTTCCAACATATACAGAGGAATTGATAGCTGTGGAGGAAAGAGAGGTGTGACAGAGTATGAATTATGTGACAATGTTTCTGAGTATATGTTTTTTTACTCTGGCCATCCAACTGAAAGGGTTTACCAGCACGTGTCCAAGTTATGGTGGAGCCATACTCCCAATGTCACAGGGCCTTACATTAATCTAAAAGAGCTGCTTGAAGTTTAGACAAAAATGTGGATTGATTAGTTTTTTAACCAACTTAGAATTTTGCAGACACAACTTCTGTTTCAAAATAAGTTTATGGTTTGATATATCATCTTTCTAGTATGTATGCTTTGAGTCTTTATCAATTATAGTCAAAATTTAACCCCCAAATTCATAAGGGAATGTATTATGATTTTTAGAAAGAAAAAAAAAAAGCACAGATGGCATTGTATATTTAGTTATTTTAAAAAGTCAAATGGAGTTTTTCCTAAAATTTTGGTATTGTAGGGTTTTTCTATATTTATGCGCTTACAAGTGAAAAACCCTAATTTCATATGATATATCCAAATTGCCAGCCTTTTAGTATTGTAGAAATAAACTCTGTACACTCGTGGCAGGATCCCAAAAACTGTTCAATGGTTATAGTATTTGAATATTCGTCTTTCAATAACTTTACGTATATCCAATGGCTGGCCACTCTACAGGACTAAAAGAAACTTCATTGGACTACACAAATTTCCACAAGCAAATCAACAAGACCTATAATATCCTGTATAATCTTATTATTTTAAGATACAGCGGAGGTAAATGTCAACATTTTAAGATACAATATTTCAAGTAAAGGACGCTGCAAATAATATCCTGAATAATCTATTATTTTGTGATTCAATTGAAGCTAATAATATCTGAAAACGTCTTATCCAATATGTGCCTTGAAAAGTTTCAGCCATCTATTAAATTTAATTGAAGCAGAGGAAAAGATTATTATATAATACAAAGCTAAACACAACATACTGGAATGGCATCTTTTAGGTTTCAAATCCATATCTTGGCTTTCTGTGCAGGCCTTGTTATTCAAAGCAGCTGCCATGGCCATTCTGGGCTTCAGAAAAAACATGTAGCCCTGTTCATCTTTGGTGATTCATTCTATGATCCTGGAAATAATAACTACATAAATACCACAAAAGTTTTCCAGGCCAATTGGTTACCATATGGTGAAACATTCTTCAGGTACCCAACCGGTAGACCTTCTAATGGGCGTTTAATCCCAGATTTCATTGGTAAGAACCATCTTGTGAGTAATATTGTTTCTTTCAGTCATTGGCCTCAACAAGGGCACAATCCCCTACATCTTCACCAACCAAGTCACCTGTAGCTTCTCCATCGAGCACCACAACATCAGCTGCTCCTTCTCCATCTAGCCCTCCACCTAAGGCTGCGTCTTCTCCTTCTCCATCGAGCACTCCACCTAAGGCTGCCGCTCCCTCTCCATCCACCACTTCACCGGCTGCTAGCGAGCCCACTGCCGACTCCCCGCCTTCTCCTCCCTCATCTTCCCCTGTCATTTCTCCGGTGATTTCTCCCTCTTCAGGAGAGGCTCCCGCACCCGCCCCTAGCAGTGCCGCTTTGAATAGGTTTGCAGTCACCGGATCTGTAGCCGCTGGGGTTTTCGCTGCTGTCTTGGTTATGTAGAGCACAATCAAACTATAACTCTGTTATGGTGGCCTATGGATTTTCAAGACAAGTCATTACTTTACGTGATATTTGTTGTTTGTTATATTTAAATTTATACAAATTAAATTTGCTTATTTGTATTAAATTTAATCACCTTCCCCAAAGACAATAAAATTAAATTTTGCAATACATCTGTGATCTGGGTCTTGTTCAAATTAATTAGCCAAAACCACACTAGCTACTCTCCTAAACCTAAACCCTAAGGCCTAGCGGTTCTTTGTTCACCCGCTCATGTAATGATAAAATATTGTCCTTCAACTTTGATAATACGCAATTGCTCCCCAAGTAAGGTTTTTGAGTTCGAGTCATACCATCCGTGTAGCGTGTGAAAAAAAAAAAAAAAAAAAAAAAAAAACTGGTCACTAATTAGCTAGCTAGCTAATATCGTATCTAATTATTAGTTTCCTTGTGCATACAGCCCAGATATATAGAAAAATCAAGACCATTGATTTTTATTCTATATCTTGTTCTGATGTCCCATTCAGAAGTTTATTTTTGTCACCGACCCAGTGATGGTTTTTGCATGGCCATAACATTCATAAGTAGCGCAACTGCCCATACAAGTATTGGTTGAATCCAATTAATTCAAAGAAACATAAATGGGAGGGTCTTTTTGCGTAGTCAATTGCCTAGCTTCCTTTGGATTCCAATGGAGGTCCCATATGCATGCACCCATACATACGTGTGTATATATATACATGCCGAAAATCGCCTTCGCCTTCGTCTTTACTTGTATTTTCTATACTTATATACATCTCAAAACCTTATTAGATTGACAAATTCTAAGGTTGGTGGTGAGGGCCTGAGGCTGACATGAGAAACTCAACTTCTCAGACAACGTGTTGCATATTTTTCTTCCTTGTTCTCTTGTTCCTTCACCTCCATAATGTTGAAGGTAAGATAAAGTCATGAAAATATAGTCTTATATTTGTTTTTTTTACTAGATCGTAATTTTTTTTTTCCAAGGAATAATTCGCCCTGCAGGAGTACGAGAAGGATCTTCAGCAACTGGCCAGCATGACATCCATGTGAGTATAAAAAAAAAAAAAGTAATTTTAATTCATGTTTAAAAATATGAATTAATATTGTCAAACACAGGACCAAGGAGAAGAGTTTGGGGTAGACTATACTCCAAGTACACATCCTCCAGTCCTACCTCCTCCAATATTAATGCAAAAATCAGATGATGAGTTTGGGGTAGACAACTATGCTCCCCTAAGGACACATCCTCCAGTCCAGCCCCCTCCAATATTAATGCATAACTCAGATGATGAAGATGATGAGTTCAGTGTGGATTATGCTCCTCCAAGGACACATCCTCTACTCCAACCCACTCCGATGCATAACTCAGGGGGCGAAGATGATGAGTTCAGTGTGGATTATGCTCCTCCAAGGACACATCCTCTACTCCAACCCCCTCCGATGCATAACTCAGGTGGCGAAGATGAGATTGGGGTAGATTATTCTCCTCCAAGGACACTGTCTCCCAAGGAACCCCCAACACATTAATACATGAGTCAAGAATGATTGTGCAAGACAAGAAGAATTTCTACAACCATATATAGATGAATGATGAATTACTAGAATAAATTTCTAAGGAACTTTATGGATCCCTCATGATTCATGAAAGTATATAATAATCATCTTTTTCTTCTGTTATATAATTTCTTGATATTTCTTGATATTTCTTGATATAGTAAAAATTAGAGGATGCTTCTCTGTTCTTTCCTATACACTTCTCACATACATATATCTAATTGATTCACATTGAAGCAAGTAAGGGGAGTTACAGACCTCCATTCAACCAGAGGCTTTGCAGCTGGATTATATTTATTTCTACTTTTTAAAAAAAGTAGTAAACTGGAGCTTTATGCTTCTTGAGTTTAAAGGGAGGCGCAATTTATTTCTCCTGAGATTAGATCTCTCAACATATGTACTAATTAATATGAATGCAAATTCATGGGCATGGTCTCGATATAGGAAGAAATCCCTCTTTAAGAATTTGTTCACACTGTCACACATAGTGTTACTCATTCAATTAGCAAACCATGCGATTGATATTTAATGAACTTAGGTGTATTATAACATGAGTGGATTGATAACACCATAAAACGATGTGGCTGTCACACTGCCGACTCACATATGTACATGGTAGTTACTTGTCCAGGCAAAGCCACAAAGGAAGGAAGGAAACTTATGTTGTACATAATCAATTTATCAACCCTAAGACGATGTTGGTTGGTAATTGGCCATAAATTAAGGATCTATTTAAATTTGGTTCGTTTGTTAAGCACATTGATTAATAGGATTGATTTCTTTTCTCAACTGATTATTAGTTATTCTATGGACAACTCATATTATAGATCCTTTAATTATACAGTCGTGTAATGTATTATGGATGCATAACAAGGAATCAAATTTTTGTGTTGGCCAAAGCATTCTCAGAATATTGATCAGCCTCTAACTGCCAAAACCATCCTCCCAAGACGCAAACCGTGCTTTGCTAGAGTTGGTAAAACGATTTTTAGAAAAACTTACCTATCTCGGTTATATATACTGATTTTCTATGTAATTGGTACACGTGATGAGAGAGATATAGGTGTAGACAACCGTCATACCTAAGTTTTTCTCCACAATCTCCAAAATCCCTTGAGATTCGGAAGGTTAAAGAAGTTTCTCAGAAACCAACGAAGATCTGTCAACCAAGTCTCCTCAACGTTCCTCTATAAAAATCCATCTCCCTTCTCTCCTTAAACCCATCCTTCGCCTCTCTGCCTCTCAAACCCTAAACCTTCTCTCTCTCTCTCCCTCTTATACCCTAACCTTCCCTCCCTCTCTCTCTCTCTACAATGGCTCGCTCCATCCATGTGGTTCTGGTTCTAATGGCTGCACTCTTAGTGGCCTCAACAAGGGCCCAATCCCCTGCATCATCGCCGTCCACATCTGCTGCATCCTCCCCATTGAGCACTCCACCAACAGCTGTTCCTTCTCCACCGAGCACTCCACCAATGGCTGCATCTTCTCCTTCTCCATTGAGCACTCCACCAATGGCTACATCTTCTCCTTCTCCATTGAGCACTCCACCTGCCGCCACTCCTTCTTCATCGAGCAGTACTCCACCAGCCACCGCTCCCTCTCCATCGAGCACTTCACCGGAGGCAGCTCCTTCTAACGAGCCCGTTGCCGACTCTCCCCCTTCTCCTCCCTCGTCTTCCCCTGTCATCTCTCCAGAGGTTTCTCCCTCTTCCGACATCTCTGTTGAGACTCCTGTACCTGCCCCTAGCGGTGCCGATTTGAATAGGTTCACTGTTGCTGGATCTTT